TCAGAAACAAGGAAAATCTATTGCTGTGAGTTATTTTATTGTTGGAAGGGAAACATGCAAAACACAAACCTCCAAACATTGAACTGCTATACTCTCTTCACATGCGGTTCAACTTATCTTTATAGTCTTGTATTCATCCACCTGGAAGTGTTGCACTGTTTCCCGTACACCAACCACTGATGTAACACTAACGCTCACAGTTTAGCTTTTATCACAGTTCAAGTCTATCATCCGCCCAGATTTGATAGTTAAAAGCGAACAGTTGATCTCTACCCTACAGTATATGCAGAGGCTGCAGCAAGGTGCTCCATATACAGTAAGTGTTCTGCAGGAAGCAAAGGCTGCCTGATTCTCATAATGCAATGAGAATGGAGTATGACCGTGCAGGCCAAACATTGAAAACAACAAACAGAAAGATGCTATAATGCTATGCAGGGATTAGGAAAATTGCCTCCTGGATTAAGGACTGTGGGTTCACAATGTAGCCATGCAGATGTGCCTCCAACCTGCATACTTCATCAAAACGGCTAAGGACAACATCCCAAACTCCAGGCTGTGAAGTGGTTGTCCACAAACAAACAGTTGACATCACATTCAGGTCTTTTATATACAGTGTGCTTGAAAGTATTTCCCTATTTTTTATTTTTTTTTATGTTAAATTCACTTCAATTTATAAACACACATTAATAATCAGTGAATACATAAGAAGATCCTGCTAATAGTGTGATTACATTTGGTAAAATACTGTAATTAGTAATTACTTCTATCCATTATTCCTACAGGAACACAGTGGCCATTGGCTACTTCGCTCTTTCCCTGAACACATCAAACCTTCACGGCAACGCATTCTTCAACTGTTTCTTGTCTGCCCTGGTAGAGATACCTGCCTACACTTTGTCCTGGGTTATGTTTCGCTGGTTTTCAAGGCGACTGAGTCTTTCCTCAACGCTTTTCATGGGAGGATTGTTTCTACTCCTCATACAGCTCGTACCAGCAAGTATGACACTCAAGTAGACAATTTAACATGATAAACCCCTGTGATACTCCTGTTTATTTTATGTAATGTGGTTTTCTCATTTCAATACATCAAGCAGGATTTATTTGCTGACAATAGCTGACATTTAGTCGCTAACATGTTATGCTTCACTCCCTTTAGATCAGATTTTTCTAGCCATTACACTGGAGATGATGGGGAAGTTCGCAGTGACAACAGCGTTCGCTATTGTGTACGCATACACAGCAGAGCTCTACCCGACTGTTTTGAGGAACACAGCTTTGGGAACCTGCTCCATGGTCTCCAGAGTAGGCAGCATCATTGCTCCATACTTCATTTATTTAAGTAAGGATACTCTTACCTCTGCCTGAAGTTAGTCATCATAATGAGCTGTCCGTTGATAACTTAGGGATAAGTGTGAACCTTCGAGTATTTAGGTAAACAGTATCCAGCCCTTTTATTTAATTTAGTTTGCACAAGCACAAAAAAAATGTTGTTCCTGATCTTGGTTGCTGCATTATCAGCTCAGTTGAATGTAATTTTACCTTTAATTTTACCTACATTTGATTTTCTCTGCTTTTCTCTTTAGCTTTTCCTGGCCACTTGTATAATATAACTGTTCTTGATGGAGGTTTTGGCATTTTATAGTTCTGTAATATTTAGAGCTTTTTCATAAGTGCAAATCTAAGTCCTCAAGTTATACAGATATACAACAAAATGCATGTCCTGGGATTAAAATACTCACTTAAAAAGTGTGAATTGTAATGCCTTATTCTGAAAAGAAAAAAAAAAAATCAAGAGTAAATAATTATTTCAGAGATAATAGAACCGTTGCCAATATGCAAGTAAGAAATATAACTAAGATTGAATTGACTGGAGTTTGATCCCTGTTAAGTTTCTGCAATTCCATAGTCTCTCAGGTGTAATGGAAAATGGATAAAAGATGCTGTTCACTTTTATTTAAAGGCTTTATATGCGATTTTTCACACTTAAATGTAATAGAAATCAAGTATATCCTCTGAAAATAACTCTGTGAGTCATGACTGTCTACAATGAGAGTGACACCCGAGTCTGACTGTCTGTGATGTTTTCCGAGCTTTCCGAGTCCTATTTTCACTTTGTTTACATCGCCAGGACGGCCGGCCGGCTCATCCCCCGGCGTATAAAAGTTGTTTAATTGAGGGACTAGAGAACAGAAGAATAACATACTGCACTCACTGCTTAATTGAATGTCACGTAAGTGTTTCTAGATCACGGTCATTTTGGGTAAATTTACATGCAGTGTGAAGATGCGAGCATAATAAAGATCGCTAGCATTAGCAGGCTAACACAACAATGCAGCGCGAGTTGTTTTGGTTTCATGCTGGTAGATATTCTGCCTTTAAGTTATCACTGAACCTTGATAGTATGACCTTTAGAATGAGAAGGGGGGTATTTATCTGGAATCTTAGATAAATAGTCCTAGTGAGCCTGATTAGCACCCAGATGAGGATAGACCAGCTGAAAGCGTAGAGTTTCTTTAAAGATTTAGTGGAAGTGATTTAAATTTCTAATGCAGCCACATCGTACTATTCTGTCATCTCTTTTGTCTTTTAGTTTTTAAAATGCTCTACGACACCCTTTTAGCCTCGCTGGCTTTTCACTTCCTTCTCTCCTTTGATGTGTCACCACAGGAAGCTATTCGGTTTCACTGCCTTACATCCTCATGGGAAGTCTGACAGCTCTGGTTGGGTTGCTGAGTCTCCTGCTGCCTGAGACCCGTGGAATGCCTCTGCCTGACACCATCACTCACATGCAACGCTTCCCCGGGTAAGACCACACCTCCCTGTCAGGAAGTTTTATTGTAGCTTTGAACTGGTCCGTTTAAACTTTGTTACATTTTAATGTTGATTCAGGCTTAATTTCTATTAGTTTCATGGTTACCTTTTCCACGTTTATAAAAAGTCATAGGCTCTATTTACAGTACACAATTTACAGAGCAAAATAAAGAGTAAGAGATTGTAAGTAGTCTCCTCTAACTTCATAATAGATGTGTCTTTTGTTTCTGGGGTTGGATTCTTTTTACTTCTGTACTTCCATTGTGTCTGTATACTCACTGATGAAAATAGTCAGGGTCTAATGTTGGTTAATATATTTTCTACTGCATGGGTAACAGACAGTGGACATTGTATTATTATTGTTATGATTTGGCATGATGGCACAGGTAGTTATGTTAGAGGATCATGTATCATTTACCTCTAGGTTGTGTGTATGTGCAAGTGTGTAGATGTGTATAGAGAAGAACATACAATAACAGAGGCATAATTATGGCTGGAGACAGATGAATCAAATACTTATCCTCTCCAAATCCTATAAGATATAAATAGTTAAGAAATCTTATGACTGAGATGTCTCTACTAATAAGTTATCTTAAGAGTTTTTTGTGGTCAGATTTTGAAGCCTTTGGCCAGATCCTCTTCAACATGTTCATGTATATATGCTAAGCTATGCTACCTGGCTGCAGATTCAAATTTAAAGCAAAATTATTGGCTTTATTTTATTTTATTTTGCAATTTTGGCACAGGTGGTCTAGTCTCAGAACATAGATTACAGACAGCTTACAATGTGTGTTTTCATGCAGGGCTTTCTGCCAGAAACCTGAGCAGCGCTTCTCTAGAGGGGAACTTACAGTTTGAGAACAGATCTTCAGGGTGCTGAGTCAAAATTAAAGCTGCACCATTCCCTATTCAAATGATTGTACATCTGTAATTTAAGATAAAATAGTTACAACAAGTCACAATAACCCCACCCTCCTCCATTCATAACTGTGAATCTGTCCATTTAAACACATGGAGAAAAGAAAGTGGGATCAACCACACACACTACCTGGCATTGGCTAAGGTTGTGACTGTGGCAAAGATAAGGCAAAAATGCATAGAATAGAATTACTTTATTGATCCCAAACTGGGAAATTGTGGCGTTACAGCAGCAGGTTATCCAACACACAATATGAGTAAAAAACACAATATTAGCAATCTAAACACAATATAATATTAACTACAGAGTGAACAAGTACTAAAAGATATCAAAAATAAGAATGTGAATATATACAACCAGGATTTAACTAAGCATTACTAGTCTTAAATAGGAAGATTAAATATGGAAGATTGGATGTGCAAAAACAGAGTCGTAGATGATTATAAATTAAATATGAAAGATTAAATGTTAGCATCCATACAATGTAAGTAAACTGGAGGTGAATTTGATCAATTTCACTTGTAATGACATTTCCTAAAACTGCTGCCACTCTCAAGAGTCTGTAAGCTTTAAATTTGTTAAAGTTGTGGAGTGGATGATGAGCATTGAATTTACACTGTACTTGACCACATTTTGAAGGAGATATGGAGTCCATAACCCTTAAAAAAATCTCCCTTTCCTTTTGGGTCCAGCAGGTGGAGCCTTAGCATGCTTAGTTCTCCTACAGCAATATTCAAACCAGGCCTTAACATGTTTTTCTGTGACAAGTGAAATACTGTAACTGTATAAATTATTTTTATTTTTTTACACTAGATGTTGCCAGAAGAAACCTAACACACTAACCCAGGTGGAGGAAAATGAAAACCCAGCTGAAAGGAAGTCTCTGGTTGTCCAGTGAAGATCTGATGTTCTGTGTAAGGCAAATATCTGGACAGAAATCCCATGATTCACTTTAACGTGCACAGAGGAACTGAACATTTCTTCAAATAATGTGACTATGCTTTCAAACATATCCTTTGAACTGGAGTGATGTTCTCCTTTTGGTGGTACAGTGAAAGGAAAAGTGTGACAATGTTTTTGACAATGCGATTTACTGCTGTTACCCTTATTAATAATAATTTTTCTTTTACTAACGACACAACTGTATTGTTCCACATTTACTGCACCACAATATTGCAAAGTGTATGGTAAATATTTGGAATACATTTGTCATAAACTCCATGCAGAGAATTCAAGCACAATGTAATTAACTCCAAATGTTGGTCAAATGTTGAAGAAATATGTCAACCTTTATTTCTTGTAAAAGTCATTTCTCAAAGAGGACAATTTTTGTACATTTAAAAAAAAAAAATCATATTACCTTTTTTAATGACTAAAAACTCGTCAATGATGGCATGAAATATTTTAGACGGTCAAAGTTTTGTTTCAAAAGGCAGCCCAGGTTTTGAATGTTGTTTCCGAGAGATGATTGGCCACTTCAAGCTGTTTGGACAAAAGACAAACAAACAGAGAAACATTATTCGTTTGAGTTTTAAAAAGAGCAAAACTGAAATTTCATTATGATGAGTGGGAGGGTGTTTTGCTTTTATTAAAAAACAAAAATGAATCTGTGACATCATGTTTTCTGTTGTTCAAAAAATCTGTTCTGGTATCTGTACAAAAACTGACTAGTTTGTTATGACATTACTTCCTGTCCTTTTGAGTACAATTAAAGTATGCTATCAAGCACACATATTTGAAGAGTTATACACCCATAAAAACATAATTTTTGACATAAAACCAAAATAAAGTGTACTGAATTGAAGAAAATGTGTCCGGACGTGACCATTTCTAAAGTCACACACTTATTTTCAGACTTTTTAACTTATGTCAAAATGATGGGATACAGCTGTAGCCATGAGGGGACAGGGATGCAGTTTCACTTCCAGGTCAAAAATGCAGGGGGTGTGGCTTAAATCCAGGCTGAGGCAAGGCACTAAAATTCTTGAGGTTTTAGTAGTGACATGAAAACTGGGGACATGCTTTTTTGGGCATAGTTTTTTAATTAAAAAAAATTAAATCCACAATAAATCTAAATATTTCAATACACAGTCTTTTAAAATTAATCGACTTCAATTTTGGAAAATATATAATCATGTTAAGATAGTTCATTTAATCACAAAAGTCTTCTTACATGTATCACTTTACATTACATTTTCGTTTTTTTATAAATCCACACCTGCAGTATGAAGAATTTAACTAAAAAGCAGAACTAAGCAAAGTGTTAAGAAATGTGAGGATACTTCATTACTACACTGTGGAATTGTGAACATCAGCAGACACGATGAAATGTTAAATTGACAGTCCTAATGACATTCAGAAATCAATTAAGCTCTCAGGAATAATCTGAACTTGGTGTCTGGAGGGTTATAATTGAATAATTCTAGACTTCATAAAACATTTCATAAAATCATTAAAGAGAGAAGAATATAAATGATCACTGTCTGACGATCTGATTTGATAAAGGAGAAGTTTATGAATGTATTCTTCAAACAACCTACCTTCCTCTCTTATGCATCTGTTGAATAGTTTCAGGAAGAGGTCGTCTAAAGCTCTCTGGCAGGAAGAGAGTAGCAAAGGCCGACACAACACACAGAGTCCCCAAAATGATGTATGGAAGGTTCTTAAAGTCCAAGCCTGAACAAGGAGAGGAAGAAATAAGGATGAGAAGGAATCCTACAGACATGGATAAAAATATTAGTGTTGCACTTGAATCTTAAGGGTAGGTAAGTTGTTGTCATTACTATTGAGTTTACTTACTCAGCTGTAATAAAAAGGTGCAATGCAGCTGCCCACTCTGGCAAGAGTGGTACATGTTCCAGTCGCAGTGTTCCTGAGCCCTGTCGGGTAAAGCTCTGCTGTGTAACTATACATCAGGGATGAACCACTGGTAATACCAAATTTCCCCAGCATCTCCAGTGCAACAGAGAGACTTTGTAAACCTGAAAAGTAGACACGGTTTGTTGTGGGATTTCAGGAGTA